TTACAGTGTAACTCAGTTGCTAAAACCAAAATATCTTGTAATCCCCCCTATTATTTTGATATTAAAAGAAATGGTGTCATATCTGTTATTGTGCCTTTTAACGATACGTTTTCCTTTGAATCCAATCTCCCTACTTTTCTTTCCTCAAAGAATTTTTCCTTGTACAGTATACTCGTATTTATATACTTGTATTATGTAAATGCAGCAAAACCATTTATACATGGGATCAGTGACATGTAGGGAACCCAGTTAAGAGTAATACATTTTTTTTGTCCTGTTGGTTCCAAAAAAGAATTATTTTTTGGCTGTGTAGGAATGATTTTTTTATTGCTTGATACAATAAAATTGAAATTCTTTATTTATTTGTAGGTAAAGCTTTTGACCAGTGCTCAGATACAAGGTCTACAACAACAACAACAACTACAGCAAATGTATTTGCAACAACAACAACAGCAGGTCACAGAACCAAACAATGTGCAGGCTCATGATGCAGTTCCTATGGAAAATGCAGTCATGTATTCAGCGGGTAAAAATATGGCAAACCATGTTTCTTTGCATGATGGGAAGGCCGAAAATCACGATGAACTTAATCAATCTTCTGTTCCTGGTTCAAGCTCACAAGAAAACTGGCCTGATGCAGTCCAGCCACTGAATGGACAAATACTGGTTCCAACATGCTCTGAAAATCAATTTGCTAAATCTACAGATGGTTTGACACAAACTGTTACATCTAGCATCACAACCCAAGGAATTTCGCTTCCATTACCTGGGCCGTTCTCGCAGTCAGAGTCACTTTTCACAGAAGCACACAGCGATTCAGGTGTTTCTGCCATGGAAACCTCTATTGCAGGGGATGATCCATTGATGGCAGTCACTGAACAACAAAATTCTTTAGCAGGACCTGATGCATTGACGACTACTTCTCCTCTATCAAACTTCGTTTCAACGTCGTCCAATGCTTCAATGTTTAACTCAAGTGTTCCTAGTAGTCAAGGAACAACTCTTCTTCAAGGCGAATCTGGAACAACAGCAACTTCTGAACAATCTCTTTCAAGTGGAATACACTCCACTCTCTTGAGTGAAATAAATTGTACTGGTGATGTGAAGCCAAGCCCGCTAACAGGAACTAGTGATCCCACACTAAGCAATGGACCCATGTCAATGTACACAGGATTTCCAAGTTCAGCTGCCGGTGCAGCGAGTGGAATATCAACCATTTCTCCCTTCTCACCCCCAAGTCATTACGTTATGTCCCCAACACAAAAATCGCCCTTTCACACGACCGCATCTCAACTCTCCCCAAGTCTTACTCAACCTTTGTCTATCATCAACCCAAGCTGTTTATCGCCAAGTTCAGGCCTACAGGGAGGGCAGTCCGCTTTCTCTCCTGCGTCTCTTATTCCAACGGATCTCTTATCTCCATCAAAACAACTCGCAGTCATCTCACCTAGCTCATCATCCAAGTCACCGTTCAACCTCAGTTCAGGGGGCGATAATTTGGCTATTCCTAAATTGAACTTGCTGTGTGATTCCAATGCGTTACCACACCCTCCAGATACTCCACTTCCTCCTCTTCCTACAGACAAGTTGTCACCACAGACACCAAGTATTTATGTAAGCATGTTTCCCATGTCGCTAAAATTTAATGACGTAAAGTTCATGTTTAAGAGAGAGGTATCTCTATATGACCAAGTGTTTGTACATGAAGGTACACTTCGCTTTTTACAACAATTCACTTGCACAATGTCTAGCTTTTGAATGCGACTTTTATCTTCAAAAGATTCTCTAGCTCTTCTTTGTTAGACTTTTTTCAGTTGTGATAATTCTTTTATTATTCCCGTGTAGGTTGAAAACAAGAAGGATGCATTTTCACCAGCACTTCAAAACTTGGTGCTAAGTAATTCCAATCCCATCCTAGTGATCAGAGGGCTAGCAGCAGCACTTAGATTAGGTTTGTATCACCGTCACTGAACATTTTATACACACCCATCTGTTGTGCAGCAACTGGCAACTAAAGTATGTTCACAGATCACTCAAAAAAATTTTCAACGGATAATCCTGTAGACTACGAGCAGGCCTTCTTCTCCGACGTAGTCTGTCGCGTGAGTCGAAAAAACAAAAAAAAGAAAACACAGAACTCCAGTTGAGAATGACTGTACAACTTGATGCTTAACACTATCCTAGCGCTAACACTAAAACAGTCTGTGAATTCTTTTGCAGATCTTAGTTTGTTTTCAACCAAGACTCTTGTTGAAACAAATGGCGAACACCAAGTAGAAGTGAGGACACAGGTATAACTTATTTTAGCTGAAAACTCAGTTTCACAGCTCTGAATGGAGAGAAACTGTTTCTGCCTACAGAGCAATTTTCAATTGAGTTTCGAAAGTAATCTGGGATTGCATTGATTTTGCGTTACTTTGCTTTTTGGTTGGTCCAGAAAACTCACGCCTCTCTCTCAACCAATCAGATGCAGAACTAACACCAATCACGACTTGGTCACCCGCGTTTTCCCGCGCGTTAGGTTTGAGTTCTCATTGGCTCTTCAGGATATTTTCCTTTCTTCTCACTGGCTGTTGTTATTATGTCGCTGATGGTTGTAAGACACTCAACTCTACTGACAAGCGCTCTAGTATCTAGGCTGTCTTAAGCCACTTTGCAAGTAACTTAATCTCGAACCTTTTGAGCCGGTTATTTATACGAGGTCTAACCGAAACCGCGACTAAACGCAAGTAGTGGGCCTCAGAGATTCTCTAACAGAGGGTTGATTTAATAAAATTATTGTCCTTCCTATATAAGCTTTCGGCCCTCTTGACATTGTCCACAAAAGTTAATGTTTAGATGGAAGGTTCGGTTAAATTGAAGATGTTATAGAACGCGGTTTTGTTAAACAACGGCTAAACTTTGTTAAATAACCCGCCCCTTAGGTTCAGGAAGACGATTGTCAGACTAGGTGAATGCTTAAGGTTGATGACAAATGCGCTGATTATCTTGCCTTCACTTTCAGAGACTTCAAGCGTCAGATGAAAACTGGGATGCTGCTGGTGAAAAGAAAGTCTGGTTGTGCGAGAGCAGCAGGTAAGTAATGTGATGGTTTTATGTTTTGGCTCAAAGTTGGTAGTTTCGCAAGTAAGAGCCTTGACGACCAGTAGGGTGAATAAAGGGGGTAAATTTCTTACGAAACTGTGGTGCTGCTTCGGTGGGAGAATATAACAAGGTAATCTTGTGTTACCAACTGAGTTGATAGCGTCAGTTGGCCACCGTGAAGAGTTTAAAAGCCGACGTTTCGAGCGTCAGCCCTTTGTCAGAGCGATTGACCAAGGGCTTATGCTCGAAACGTCAGCTTTTAAACTCTTTACGGTGGCCAATTTAATTAAGGTAGATATCTCTTTTTGGAATCAGCAAGGTTTTTATGAATGAATGGTTGTTTACTTTTAACACGTAAAATGATAACAGGTATCGATAGAAATGTCACCAACAGGAGATTTGTTGAAACCCCCTGGCTTTGGGAAAAATTTTATCTGGATGACCTTCTACTTTGAAGGCATGGGTAATCACTGACACAAAACAATGACGCGGCTATCTGTGGTGTATCTTTTTCACAGGTCGTATACAACTATTGCAAAGTATGCCCAATATCAGGCGAACTCATTTCAAGAGTCTTTGAAGGTAACCTCTGAAGAGAAGTGATGGTAGGGCCGTTTATACGAGGGGAAAATAAAACGTGGCTTGTAGAAGACGCGAAGTCATCGTATTAATGCTTCATTTACACTTCAATAAGCCGTGGTTCATGTAAGGCGAGGGGTTTGAGCACGTCCTAAATAAGCCACGGCTTGAAGAAGATGCGAAATCACCGGCGTGAATGACATTGCAGCTTACGTAAGACGCGAACTTAAACTGCGCAAGCGCAATTTTTCCCTCGCATACGACCGCTCCCACAACTGTATCAAAAATAAGACGAGAATCATCAATACGAGCGCTTTATGTCTTATTTACGCCGTGTTCGTATAGATGGCCCAGTTCGCCTCTTATGTAAGCCGTGGATTATTTTCCTCGTATAAACGGCCCTAGTGTAGACGTAGATTTTTACATTCGGATTTTGGAATAACAATGTACAGTAAGAGTGATGAAACAAGTGAATTTACATACAAACCCCTTTGCGATCATAATCTGAGTAAATTTGAAGTGTTTATTATGTTTGGTTACTTCAGGAAGAGCAGGATAGACAAGCGGGCATCAAAGAACCATCGCAATCAGACAGCGATTCATCGTCAAGCTCCAAGAAGTGAGTTCTGATTTTACTTATATAACAAGGCTGAGTTAGTTCCTTCTGTTTTCAAATCAGATAAAGTAATACTATATCATGCTCTCTCAGTTGCATCTTATTTTATCTGTTAGTCGATGAGTACGCTATTATTGGTCAGTTTAGCGGGCCATAACTCATTGTACGGCCCGCCAAATTAAACAAATTAATTTGAATTGAAATCTTGCTCTTTATTTGAACCCAGGGACATGATAAATATCTCACTAACCTCGTTTTATAGGTCCGTGCTGTGAGTTGCAGAACCTGTTTTTCTTTTTTTTTTCCTTCGGATTTTTAGCGCACATCGCGCTAGGGCCATCAATCGGAGCGGAAATACTCGGTCCTTAACTTACAGTTCGGATCTCGAACTTTGTTAGTGAGAGATTTATATATATATATAATGTACTGATCCTAGTGTAAGCTCATTGGGGTCTTTCTGTTTGCCTCCAACAGTGGCAGGAAAGGCAAAGGAAAGAAGTTCAAGTGGATTAAATTTGGAACTAATGTTGATCTTTCTGATGAGAGAAAGTAAGTTTCAGAGATACCGTTAGTAAATTGTACAAAAGGTTTTCTCTTTAGACTTGTGTTTTACAGAAAATGAATATTTACTCCATTTGTTTGGAATGTGCTTGACTTGCTTTGCTTTGTTCTCTTCAGATGGAAAACGCAACTACAGGAACTTACTAAACTTCCACCATTTGCCAAGGTCAGCATTACCTTGTTACACCAAATTTTTTTCGTCCTTGAATACAAAAACCTTGCGAACCTAAGCCTCTACAAGGCATTCAGTTACTAAAACGGAGCGCGTTGGCAAACGGCGCGGTAAAAGGAGCGGAGCGGAAAAAAATCGAGGGAAGTCTGGGTCTGGTCCCGCACCCGACGCAAAGCTCCCTCGGTTTTTTCACCATTATCGCGCTTCGTGTTACTAACTGAACGCCAAGAATAGGCTATATGAAAATATAAGTAGTCTGCGTATTGTGACAATCTTGAAAGTTCTTTATTTTATCGGCAGTCGTCTATGAAGTCTACTGATTGTAACCTTTCTATGATCATCAGGTGGTGAGTCCTGGCAACATGTTAAGCCATATTGGTCACACAATCCTTGGCATGAACTCAGTGCAGTTGTACATGAAGATACCAGGATGTAGGACACCAGGTATTTATCCGTTCGAACACACTTTGGCTACCAGCTTCCGTAACAAAGTTATGTGTAGTTTGCAAGGAAAAAAAGGGTGATCAATTTTTTTAGTGTATCTTTTCGATATTCTCTTGTCTTTGCGCTTATCGGGAGGGTGAAAACTGCAAACATATAAATTGTGGTAGACCCAAACTTGTTGAAGAACAATCAGCTGCGTTCTTTCCAAGCGTAGTAGAGGGGGCGACTCCACGACTTTAATTGGGTGATAGTGCGGAGCATTTAAATCAGCGAACTCTGAAACCCAGTGCTCTGATCCCCTTGGCTGTACTGCCAACATTTTTTATTTTTAGAAAAGGATCAAATAGGGCAATATTTTGTAGTGTTAAACACTCCAGTGGTACATTTTATATGACATTTCCGAAAAGATTGTATTGTTATTGCTTCATACAATGAAAAGCTACTTTTATGTCCTTTGATTGTGTTTCTAGGTCATCAAGAAAACAATAATTTCTATGCTATAAATATTAACATTGGACCGGGAGACTCGGAATGGTTTGCAACTCCAACAGAATATTGGGGCGTTTTACACAACTTGTGTGAAAAGTAAGTAACTAGATCCAAAATGATACAATAAATGATTTGAACCCGAAGGTAACATAGTCCCAAGGAGGAGTGTTGTTGGTAGTAGTAACTGACATTTCGACAACCATGGCGGAAGTCATCGTCAGACTCATATTGGAGACAACTTTTCTAATTGTAACTTTTTTATTTTATTTTGCAGGAATAATGTCAATTTTCTAACAGGTAAGGAGCCTCTCACTACAGTGACTTATCACTTCTTCAGTCTCTCTAAACCACGCTCCACACACCTCCCCTTCTTGGCAAGCCCTCTCCCCTACCCCAGTCCTCCCTCTACAACCTTCCAGCTCCAATTCTCATTTGTGTTCTCAAACACTGAGACAGCGATGGACGACTTGTAGCTAGAAATACTGGCACTATTTTTTATTGCTGGTGTCTCCTTCAACCAATCCGTCTATCTTTAAAAATTTGAACTTCCTACATTCGTGCAAGTTGATTCCTCCACTTAGGTGCCTTAATTGTTTTGCTTTATTCAATTGTTTGTAAAGGCTCCTGGTGGCCCATTCTTGAGGAACTTTACGAGGAGCGTGTGCCAGTGTACAGATTTATTCAAAGGCCTGGTGACCTGGTCTGGCTCAGTCCTGGGGTAGTACATTGGGTACAGTCGTCGGTGAGCAGTGAACTTTTTTACTCTTAAGATGTCATTAGTAATTCTCTTTTCTGTTTGCCATACAGTTCTTGTTCTGTTAGTTTGGAGAATTTGTTGTCGGATCAACCGATGATCCCCTTATTGACATTTTTCTTTATTCTCATCACTTGTCTGCGTGATGTTGTATAGCTATTGTAAGGAGAAATTCTGTCTTGGTCACTCATAGGAGTAAGGATGAAACTGTGTAATTTGAAATTAAAGAAGTGCTAATTATGTTTCTCTCATTTTTGGTGATGAAAGTTGTGATAAAATTTACTTGTATTTTAGGGTTGGTGTAACAATATTGCCTGGAATGTCGGTCCTCTTACAGGTGAGTGTAGGTAGAGATTCCACGCAATTTATTTGGACGTATTCGTGACGTTCCAGTCATATTTCATCACTGCTACCTTTTTCATCTGGAACGCTTCATATCTCTAATACTAAAATGATCATTTTGCAGAGGACATGTACACAGCAGCTATAGAAAGATATGAATGGAACAAACTACAAGGTGAGAAATTGATTAACTACAGTAGAGCGGTTTACAAACATCTCAAGGTGTTTTTCTTTTGTCACCCATGTTTCACTTGGAGTAGTGCAGTTAGGCAGTAGCTGTATTAAGTATATTTTAGGATACTGACAGCAGATTACATCGCTTTTACTTTGATTTACTAGCCGTTTTATTACTTTCCTTCTCAATAACGCTGTTGTTTTGGTTCAAAAGCCCCACAAATTTCTTATGAATGATTATCGAGGAGTGATCAGTTTATCAAGGCATACTATTTGACAAAGCTAGGAAGAAGGCGCTTTGCTCCTTCAACTTTAAGTTTTTTTACGGTCCAGGCCCCGGTTGTTCGAAGGTTGGATAACGCTATCTGCTGGATAAATCTCTATCCAGTGGATAGTGTAGTATGTTTTTCGATAATTTATCCGCTGGATAGCGATTTATCCGTTGGATAACGTTATCTGACGTTAATACAACTGGGCCCAGCTGTCTAGTTCAATGCGGATGATTTTAAGTGTTATTTATAAAATTTCCTGCAATTTCAACTTCAGGTGAGAAGTCCATTGTGGCCATGCTACACTTGTCGTGGAACCTCGCAAGAAATGTGAAAGTCACCGAAAGGAAGTTGTTTGAACATATAAGGTGAGTCTGCGCGAAAATTGTATTCTTGTTCCCCTCCTCCTTAGATGATTGTTAATCCATTAACGAAGGCGTACTTTCATTGAATTGTTCCTGGACATCCGTGCGGTTAGACTGTCTCTGTCCCCTTTCTCTAGCTAGTTGTAATCTCGCAAGTGTTGCGTTTGATTTCAGAGTTGTGCTGGCCAGGTCACTCAAGTATTGTCAGATTACTGTGGAGAAACTAAAGCATGCTGGGATTGAGGTGATGTGGCATGGGAAAAAACACAATGAAGGATCTCATTACTGTTTTCAGTGCGAGGTGAGCAGCTCCTCTGTTGGACTACATGTTGTGTTGTGTTCTACCTTGTACATTTTTCTCGACATATAGAAAGCCTTACAACACATTTTAAGTAGAGTTTAGGGCCTTGGAAGTGGCAAATGCGCTTACTAGCTGGTGTGTAACAAGCTGTGCAAATCTCGAGTTGAATTTTACAACCCTTGATGATCAAATTTGTCAAAAAACCACGAAAGAAGAGTAGAGAGACTGGTAGCTAGAGTTCGTTGCACGTCGGATGATTAGTTCTCTGAGTTTTGAGCGCAAATTCCAATTTCCGTTTCGCTCACCGTAGTCTCTGTGGCTCAGTGGTAGAGCATCGGAGCGTGGAATCAGAAGGTCTGAGGTTCGGTTCCTCATGGGGACTCAGAATATTTTCTTTGTCATACGCTCGTGACAAGACGAAAAACATCTTTCTTTATTTCTTTGGATCTGTTTGTACGATCCTGTCGAGAAGCACTGTGACCTGCTTACAAACTCGTGCTTCTCTTTTGCTTCCTAGGTGGAGGTTTTCAATATTCTGTTTGTCACAGACAACAAGAAACACGTCGTGTATTGTCAAGATTGCGCCAGAAAGACCAGCAGTAATCTTGCTGGATTTATAGTCCTCAATCAGGTAAAAACCTTTCTCATTATAGAAACGCAGCTACTAACTTTTGATCAATCATCGGTCTTTTAGACACTAGTGGTACTTGTCTGTGTGGAGTCCGTTTGAGAGCCGTCAGAAGTTGTGTGTACACGTAAAGTAGTGCG